ATTAGATTTAAAGAAGACGGCGGCCCCTGCCTGGGTGTCGTCTTGACTCTGGGGGAGGCCAGGCGAGACGCCCCACGAAGAGACGCGGGGCGAGTTTGGGAGCAGACTTTCTGAAGCCTGACAACGACCACATAAATGAGCAGACCACCTCCTGCCAACAGATAAGCCTTGCTATGATGGCAGCCCTGGTCACACTTCAACGGCACCACGTGAGAGACTCCAGCCAGAATCACGTAGACAAGTTGCACCCAGAATCCTGACCTACAGGAACTGGTAGACAAAAACTGATTGTTGTTTCCAGCTATTATGTTTTGGGGGAATCTGTGACAGGCGATAGATAATTACTCATAAACTAAGATGCCATCCCAGGCTGAGAGTAATTATTCAAAAAATACACACTTTCAGTAGTAGAATATCACTGAATGACAGATCACAAGATTAGAGAGAATGTGACAATGAGTCAGTAATGGGGAATTAATTATAGCACACGAAAGCTAACTCTCTCTGTGGGTGGCATTAACCTATAGGAAATTCTTATTTTTTAAGACATAGGCCAGGCTGGGTGGTTCAGCCTGTAATCCCAGCACTTTGGGAGGCCCAGGAGAGTGAATTGCCTGAACCTGCGGACTAGCCCGGGCAACTTGGCGAGACCTCATCTCTACAATAAATCAAAAAATCAGCCAGGCGTGGTAGCGCGTGCCTATAGTTCCAGCTACTTGGAAGGCTGAAGCAGAAGGATCGCCAGGGCCCAGCAGATCAATGCTGGGGTGGCTGTGAGTGAGCCACTGTACTCCAGCCTGGGTGACAGAGTGAGACTCCAATTAAAAAAAAAAAACTTTTTCCAATCTCAATATATCTAAAATTTATTAGAACAATCGGTGATTTACATAATCTTTGTGCATAAACTTTACACAGTTCTCAGCCTTTTGTGAAGTCAATTATTAGTAGCCCCATTTTACTGATGAGAAAACAGAGGTTTGTTCTACCAAAGGAAGTTTGTTAAAACGAAAAGCTCCTGCACTCTGCCCAAAAATCCAGAAGTGAGTATGTCGTAAAATATTCTAGCACAGCTGTATCCTGCTTTCAGGTGCAATATGATGTCACTCCTCCACAGCTACCCACAGTTCATAACACAGAGAAAGTTCAGACCTGAGGATTGCATTAGGTGACCTGACATGTCTCCAAATTATTCCATCCCACTGTCAGAAACAAAATAATTCTGAGGTACTGCTAATAGTTCAAGATAATCACAGACAAAATATCCCGTATTCAACTCTTTCTGAAAGTTTGGTTTTCCACAGAAAACATAGATAACTATCATGTTGAAGAAAATACATTTTAGTATAGGACAAAGTAGGAAATATAACTGATTTGGGCTTTAGGACACTGATCTCACAAAGTCGGTGCCCTGGATTTGGCAACTTCCGGAAGAGTCCCATGCACATGAATAAAATTCAAATATGGCATCGAAAGATCACAGGAATTAAATCTCATCCTGCAGTTTGGTTCACAAGCATCATCGTGTACTGCACACTGTCAGCCCACATGAACAGCAAATGCTAGAGGTGAAAGGATTGGTAACAATAACTATCAAAGGAGAAAAGCTTGTACATTGTGCTCAATTTATGCTGAGAAAAGGAAACCTGGCAAACAACAAATGCTTGATATTTTTAAAGCCCTTGTTCATGGAGCAACAATATGCTTATGTTAAAAGATGGCCTCATGCCATCAGCAAAAAGGAAATAACAAAAGAACTGGCACTCATTCAAGGAGAAAGTATCAAGTTTCTTGTTTACTCTTTAATTGTTTAATTAGGCAAATCAGATGAGCTTTGTTTCAAACACAGCCACTGCAAATTAAAGGGGCACAGGAAATAAATCTAATTTTGGAAGTCAGGATGTGTAAAAGTCAAAGTTATTTCGTTTCACAGATGAAAAACTGTGACCCAGGGAGGCTATCAGACTTGTCAAAGGTCACAGTGCTGGTTCAAAGCAGAGCTGAAATTAGTCACATTCAACTCTTCATGGAGTTCTCCAGCTAGTGGGAGATGCTGGTAAGTAAATGCTATCTGATAAGAACTAAAAGAGGGATAAATCCATGGGTCTGGAAAGACAAAGAGCAGAAAGCCAATTCTTGAAGGTTAGGGAAGACTCCCAGGAAAAGTGACGTCTGAGACCTCAAGATAAACAAGCATTACCCAGGTCAAGGAGAAGGGAGGGAAGAGAGCCTGAAGAGGGGGGAGGAGAAAGAGGCCTGGAAGTAAGACAACACGCATCACTTAGCTGGAATTTGTAACGCCAAGAAGCAAAAGATGAACAAGAAAAAGAGGGGCCTTGGAAGTCGTACCTCATTACATAATTTGAATTTGATCCAAGGGCCTATGGACACTTACTGAAGAGACTTAAGAGTCTTGATTTAAAAAGATGTTGTGAACTCACCATGGATTGGACTAAGAAAGCTCGAGGGAAATGTGTGTCATCCAGGTGAGAGATGACAGTGGCCTTCATTAGGGCAGCAGCAGCAAAAATGAAAAGAGGATGAATCTGGAAGAAATGCACTATCTGAGCACTCACTGCCAGAAGTCACTTGATGTGAAGAGGCTCACATTTAGAAGATTATACAGAGAAGCACAGAGCATCTTAATGTGAAATCATTTTCCACTGACCACTTAGCAAACGAGTAAACCTTGTAAGATGGCTGCTGTATCCTGCCTGGGCAAAGAACACTCAAGTCTACCCCTGACCAAATCACCAAGAAAGTCACAGTTTCTGTCACTCTCAGATGTTGCAAACATCAAGAACACAACAAAATCATAAGGCAAATACAATGGGAGAAAGAAAGACCCTGTAAAAGGAGACTGCAAATGTTGTAAAAGAAGAACAATTTCACGAGTTCAATGGAAGTTGTACTGGAGGATATGCACTCATACCCATGTCAAACAAGGATCTGGGAGAATTAGACTAAGAATTTAAGAAGGAAAAAAGTAACAGGGACCTAGAAACCACTTCAAAGGAGAATGCTTTGAGTTTCCATGGATTTGGGGAGGTCTCCAGGAAAACTACTTAAGTTCTGGAATACGTTTTCAAAAAAAATCCCTCTACTTGCAATCTTCTGTGAAAGTCAAACGTGATACAAAAAAAAGTGATATAAGTTTTTAAGAAAAAAATGACAAACATCCAGCAAACACTTGACTTGCCTCTTCACCTAAAGATTAACCTTTTATCCATTTAGAAAAAAAAAGTGCAGCACACTGCCACATTCATTTAATTTTACATAACATGCTCTGAGGCTGAAGCAAATCTGACTAGTTTTCAATGTGAAAATAAAATATAAAAACTGTTCTTGGAGTTATTTCTAAACGGAACTAGTCTCTAATCCTAATGAGAGTTACAAAAAAGAGAGAGAATTACAAAATACAGTAATTACTTTGAGAACTATAAAATATATTACAAAATATAGTAATTATCTTCTTCTTTTTTTTTTTTTTTTATCTTGAGGTAAACACTGCAGCTGCAAGCACCACCAGCGACTATCCTCAGGTTAAACAGGGAAAGAGTGAACACACGAAAATTGCAATTACAACCTAGATGAACTAAACAGTAAAATGAACTTTTCTTAAAGTGAACTATTTAAAAAACGTCTTTGATTTCATTATCCAAGTACTATTAACAGTTTTTTGGGCTCGGGGGAGGGAAAAAATCAAATTTTTTTGTCATTCTGTTCTATCAAAGATTGGTAAAAATCAAGTGAGTCTCCTTCTGGTGAAAAGCAATCTTTGATAAGCAAAGCACAGCCTGGGCAAAGGCAGATGCGCAGCGAAGTCAGCCCTGATGCCAGCCTTCATCCTGCCATTCAGGAGTTCTGCCGCCTCTGGCACCTGGGAACAACACCCTTGCCTTGTGCCAAGTAAATGGGACGATGGACATGAAGCCCTTGGCATGACACCTGATTCTCCTGGCTTCCAGCCTGCAGAGGTCACTCAATAACTACATACGCCATTTTAACTATGACAATCAATTAACAAAAGATGTGTCATATTGTTTTAAATGGACTGAAGTAGTTGAAACAATAAGGACAACGTATGACCAGGAAATGTTTCCGTGGAAAAGTATCTTAAAATCTCCAGTCAGGCATGGTGGTGCATGCCTGTCGCCCTAGCTACTCGGGAGGTTGAGTTAGGAAGCTCACCTAAGCCCAGAATTTGAGGCTACAGTGAGCTATGATCACACCATTACACTCCAGACTGGGTGACAGAGCAAGACTCTGTCTCTATAAAATAAAAATTAAAAAAACTGGAGAAAAACAAATGAGAGCTCAAGGTTGATCACTGACACATTCCCTGGTAATAAAATGATTTGTAATACTTCTTTACGAGTGGTTTTTAATTACCAAAATGTATTTATCCTTTTGTTTTAAATTTCTAATTTTATTGCATTTTGGCCAAATCTACCTGATTTCCTTTTTTGTTGTTATTTTTTGAGTTGGAGTCTCACTCTTGCCCAAGCTGGAATGCAGTGACACACTCATGACCACCACAGTCTTGACCTGCTATGATGAGGTGATCCTGATCCTTCCACTTCAGCCTTCCAAGTAGCTGAAACCACAGGCACTCACCACCACTCCCAGCTAAGTTTTTTGATTTATTGTAGAGACGAGGTCTCGCCAATTTGCCCAGGCTGGACTCAAACCACTGGGCTAAGACAATTCTCTCATCTCCTCACCCCAAAGTGCTAGGATTATAGGCGTGAGCCACTTATGCAATTTTAGCATTACATTTAGGAAGAACTTACTGACATTGATGTAAAGAATGTTTTCACTTGACAAAGCATGTTCAAATGGTGTGCAAAGTTTTGGATTAAAAAGTTAAATACTGGCCGGGCATGGTGGCTCATGACATGGGAGGATTGTTTGAGCCCTGGAGTTCAAGACCAGCCTGGGCAACACTACAAAACAATAAAAAAAAAAAGTTAGCCAGGTATGATGGCGCACACCTGTAGTCCCAGCTACAGGGAGCCGTGATCATGCCACTGTACTTTAACCTGGGTGACAGAGTGAGACCTGACTCAGAAATAAAAAAGTTGAATACTAGTAACTCTTTGAGAGGATATAGAAACCAGGAGAAACCCCTACTTCCCTTTGTGAAGGCTGTTCTCTAAACAAATCAGTATCTGTGTCCTCTACGAAGCTACTGGGGGCCTGTGTTTAACTTATCTTTATATTCTCAAGCCCCAACACAGTGAGTACTAGGTGCTCAATAAATTCTTGATCAATGAGAAAATGATGCATCCCAAACTAAACAGGACACAAACGATTATTTCTCCATTTCAAGAAAATAGAAAAACAAAGATTAGACAGGTAAAATGTTTACTAAAGGGTAACACCTCTGTAAGGAGTTAAATGGTCACTACAACATATATCCTGCAATTCCCAGTCCAATATCCAATTCACCACACACCGATGATGACTAAAAAGAACCCAGAAGGCTTGGGGAAAACTGGAAATGTCTCTTTTCCGCAAACTCCTACCGCATGCAGTCACTACCCCTGCCATAGAATCTATCACAAACTCATGCTGGAATGTTCTGTGTGCACTCCTTATCGCCCTCACTGGACTACGAGCCGGAGGAGGCAAGCAGTGTCTATGTTTCCTTGCGTTCTCCTCCTAACACTTCCTAAAGTCTTTTTTTCTTTCTCATTTCCATCTTTCTCATTCATACTGAATCAATTAATGATGTATGCTCTACTCTGTACCCTTCAACAGCATCATTAAGAGGGCAAAAGCAAACTAAAACCATCATAAGTAAAGTTAAACAGAAAACAAGGTCTAAAAATGTCAGTCAAACAAAAGGAGTCTGTGAGAAAAACGGAGCAGCCCAGCTGAGTGTGTCAGCCAGTGGAAGCTCCTTTCTATGACTCACTCAGCTGTCAGATTAGCACTAAGCCCTTTTTTTCTTCCCCTAAATCTCCAGAAGCAATTGTGTGATTCAGTGTGCCCAGCAAGCCCCCTGCATCTAGAGTCTGGTGGACTGGGATGTTAATTGCTAGGAAAAAATATGCTTAATCCATCAAATTGTGATGAGCATAAGAGTATAATAATTATAAATTTACACACTGATGGCAGAAATGATGACTAGAGGGGATTAATATTCTATGCTTTAGTCGTCCTTCTTGCCAACCAACAGAAGTATGCCGGGAAAGAAAAAAAAACTTACTTTGAGCAGCCAAGTGAGAACTGAGTCACGATATGGAACAAATTTATTCTTGTTTTTGCCAGCACCCTGATCTGCGAGAGCTGAGATAACCAGACCGAGCGTCGTGAGGGACCTGCATGGTGAAACAAACCGTAATCATTACAAAATGGAGTATATCGAATGTCACATTTTAGCACAAAGATTGAACACCAAGATGCCTTTGTACCTGCATGTGAGCAGCACTGCTGTCAGCACTTTGCTGTTGAGTTCAAAAGACACAACCCTAAATAGCTGCCTTCCCTCTATACTACTTCATGCAAGAAAAGTGCTTAGCTCAATTTATTTTTGGTAGATAAAAATGTGAGCTGTAACTCTTCAGGTCAAGATAAAAACACAAACGTCACATGTCTTTGAGAAGGCAGCCATAAATGCAATATAATAATTGAACCACTGTACAAGACAAAAATTATATGATACATGCTTCAATACTAGCACAGCACATCTGGATGACGATGTTCGGCAATCTCCAGTTGGTTTCTGATGACTCCTATTACGTGTTCTGGGAGCCATGGGGATAGAAGACATTTCTACCCTTAATGAGCTAACAATTTAGCTTGAGGAAGAAAATCTAGCCATACGAAGGAACTGATAAACAAAATATTACTTCATCAAGTCCTAGCTTCTTGCACTCAAAGGCGGTTATAAAAGAGAAAGCCCAATGTGGCTAGCACACATGTTGCTCAAACAGCAACACAAAGATCAACAGCTGGACTCCGAGAGAACAGTTATCTTTGTTCTTTTCAGTAGCTTAGACCAGTGGTTCTCAACTGGAGGGTGACTGTGCCCCAGCAGGGAACAGCACAACGTCTCAGAGCGAGTTTGGGCTGTCACAGCTGGGGGTGGGGAAGAGGTGGTGGGTACTACCGCCACCTAGTGGGCAGAAGCCAGGGATGCTGCTAAACGTCGCACAAAGCACAGGACCATCCCCGCCCAAGAAAAAGGACAACCCAACCCGAAATGGAACAGGGCTGCCTTTGAGAAGCCCTAACTTACTGAGGCTGTGCCCCTCGACCCCATGAGACATCTCAATCAAACACAAAAGAAGCTCGGGCCCATCGAAAATACTAGAAAAATATTCTAAACTATCTAGTCTTCATAGCCTTAATCACTGCAGAATTATCTTATTATTTCAATAACCACAGATGTTCCCCCGTTTGGCTAGAAAATCAAGAAAACAAAGAAAATTAGCTTCCGGAACACTTACTTGTTAATGTTACTCCCTTCCTTCAGCCTGTCACCTGCAGCTCCAGTTTTTGTTGCTCGTTCACTGCCAGCTAAATCAACCAAGCTCAGTTTGCCCACTTTCTCTCCAGATGTCTACAAAGTAAATTGATCAATACTAATAAACAGTTAAAGAATACAGAAAGTAGTACTGTCACAACCAAATGGGCCTATAATCTAAATCCTTTATGAAAGGTACTTAGCTGCTATTTCAAAATTATTTTGTGCTACTATAAAACACTATAAAAATTGTACAATCGAGTAGTAGATACACACAAAATTTACACAACTCTACTAATCCAGACAGAAGAAAGCTAATTCTCTCAAAAAAACAGCGCCTACAAAATGGGGCTTTTGGAAGGAAGCCCAATAACATCTTTGGAAAAGTATACAAAAATACTTACAAGATATAAATTTTACTATGATTGGAAACAATGCTTAAAATTTCATGAATATTTACCAATAACACTGAGGCAAAACATTTGCAATTCTTGCTGATGTAAAACAAACACACTCATCTGACTTTTATACAATAGAAGAATGCTAGCCGAGCACGGTGGCTCATGCCTATAATCCCAGCACTTTGGGAGGCAGAGGTGAGAGGACTGCCTGAGCCCCGGGGTTTGACCAGGCTGGACAACTTGGCAAGACCTCATCTGACGATAAATTTTTGAAAAAGTGGTTCCAGTTACTTGGAAGGCTGAAGCAGAAGGATCACCTGAGCCCTGCAGGTCAAAGCTATAGTGGCTGTGAGCATGCCACTGCACTCCAGCCTGGGCGAAAGAGTGAGACTCTGACTCAGAAAAAACAAATGAACAACAACAACCAAAAAAACAATAGACGAATGCCTCAAAAACTCAAAATATTTCTAAAGTTTTCATCTTATTCATATATAGTAATTCTCTTTATTTTTACAACTTCAGGTATTTGATTTACATCTTTTTCTAGTTAAGATATTATACATATATGCATATGTATTGACATTTTACTTGATCAAAAATGTTATCAAATCACATACACACAACATATTTTATACTTCAACAGCAATATAAAAAATGTAAAACACCAAAATCTATAGACTGATCTTTTTAAAACTTCCCTTTAAAATATATATATTTTATATATATACATATATATTTTTATATATATTTATTTCCATAAATAAATATGTTGCTAACAAAATGTTATTCAGTTTCCCAAATCAAAAGTACTTTGGCTAAAAAAAAATATTCAGTGTGTTTTGTTTTATGCTGAAAAGGAAATAGGTAACAAAGAACTTTTTGTTGTTACACTAATCTTGCTGTAAGAAAAATATGCTTTCAGCAAATGAAAATCTTGCCAAAATATAGAATTCTGTCAGTGTGATTATCTTAGCTTCTGGTATTTGTAATTTGATACACTAGAGGGTAGGCATCACAATAAAATATGTCAAACTTCACATAAGAAGGAAAACACAAATATATGAGGCAACAGAGAAGTTTGCAATGTGACAGAGCACACACATCTCGGATTCATTTTACTCTTCACAAAATTCAAAACCAAATACTCAAAAAATTACCCTATAAAATCTAGTGATTTTATAGTACAGTTTCCCCAATACAGCAATTTATTCCTCCTAATAATGTTTAGCAGAAGGCAGCAATGCAAAAATCCTCCACTGAATCAGCCAGAATATCAACTTCACTCATGCCATTGACCCTCAGAGTTTAAAGTTCAAAAACTGCTGTGGCAGGAACTCTGGGCCATCAGCTGCTTGACTTCTCCCCTACCTTCCATTAGTGGGAGAGGGTAAGGAGCTAAAGCCCACATTTCTCAAACCCCCTGGGAGTCAGTGTTCAGGATGTCACATAGGCTCTGTCAGTCAGATCTACCTGCTAAAGACTGGAAAGCAGAAGCAGGGCGGAGGCCATTCCCGCCCCTTTCTGCTGGCAAGCAAGCTCATGGAACTATGAGGTTTTCTACAGAAGAGTTCTACCACATTCTCCCATTTCCAGGGTGCTAAGAGGCTGCATTGACAGAAGTAACGTCTTTATTCCTGCTTCCTGGATCACAGCTACCGGGCGTGCCTTAAACTCACAGTTTTAGTGATGTCCTCACAACTGGCACCAAACCTGGTGGCCGGATCTGTGTTGTTCTAGAGTTGTTCCTGGAAATTCAGCCTAGAACCCATTCCTCCTCACATGTTCCAACAGCTCTGTAATCACCTGATTCCCTACACTAAATCCCTTTCTGTTTACCTACCTGGCTTCTGCTTTTTGTTCAGAGTCCTAACTGATACACTAATCTAGGACTTTAATCCATTTAACATCTAAAGAGAAAAAGATCAACCATAATCCACTTTAGAAATTGGAAAAAAAAAAAAAAAAGGTCATGCATCTGAACACCTACCCCAGACTTCACATCATAGAGCGTGTGTGTGAGGGTGATTTTGAAAACCGCATGGGACCGGCTACTCTCCTCATTCATGTTGGTTGCAGCAACTGTGCGAGATTTGTTACCTTCAGACATCAAAGACTCGATATCCTAAGTGGAAACAAGACACAGACATACATTCCACTATTTGTGTGATTAACACTAAAACTCTGCTATACTATAAAATGCGTTACAAGCTTCACTACTTAGTCAACAAGATTTAGAGATAATATTTTGTTTTTCAATAAACATTAAACCCAACAAAATATAATAGCCAATACAGTCTTTGAAAACTCAAAGTACATTATTTTCTGTAGGTGCAGAAAAAAGTGGCTGCTTTGACTCAAAGAAGTCTGGAAGCTGCACTTTTGAGTCACACAAAATAGGCAAATATGCCATAACGATTCCCAACTAATTTAGAAATTTGAAGAAAACTTAGTTTCTTTAATACAGAAGCAATACAAGGTTACTGTCAAAAACAAATTATACAAATAAGCAATAAACAAAAATAATTTATAACTACTTCAACCAGGCATATCACTAACTACCGTGTCGGTGTGTATCTTACCAGACCTGTCTTTAAAAATAAGAAACTCAAGAGACTAATTTTCTGTACAGAGGTACTACTTGGTTGCTATTATTGCTAAAAAAAAAAAAAAAAAAGACAGTAAAGTACAATAAAAAGGTCATGGAGTTTTCATTTCTTTAATATTATAAGCTCTACAACAGCTACTTAACCAAGCTAGATTTTAGCTGCATTAATAACAACACAGCTATAACATCATCTACCTTACAAGGGTTTCGATGAGAAACGAGACATCGTTTGAGACATCTGTATGAGAGTCTACTAGTTGCTGCCCAACCCACTCTTCTTTTCTTTCCAGTAGAGGAGCCCAATCTTTAGCTGAGCACATTGCGGCAGAGCTAAAAGTACACATTTCCCGGATGCCCTTGCAGATCAGTCTGGCCACATGACTAAGTTTTAGCAAATAAGATATCAAGTGTAACACAGGCTCTCTGGGAATTATCCTTAAAGGGAATAGGTATTTTATCACATGTTGGTTCTAAGAGCCATCTTGAACTATGAGAACAAGGGCAATACCACATCCATCTTTGTGAAGTGATGGAAGGAATCTAGGTCTCTAAATAACATCTTTAGGGTCACATACCAGCCCTGGAGAGTCTATCTCCGTTTTTTTTTTTTTTTTTTTTTTGCATGAAAGCTCTTGTTCAAATTACCATTCATTCATCTGTATATAAACTGAGAGTACCTACTATATGGCAGCTACTTTCTAGACACTGAGGATACACAATGAACAAAACAGATGATAATCCATGTTTCAAAGAACTTAAATCCTATTATATTGTTTACATTATATGCAGCCAAACATTCTAACACACGTATATGTAAAACTTTGAAAACTACAGGATTCTATTTTGCTGTATAAATGAAAAAGAAAAATGTTTAAGAGAAAATTCATCATGATAAATTAAAAGCCTAAAAGTAAAAACATCAACTGCAAAGAGAAGTAGGCAACAGAATAGAAAAACAACAAGAGATAAAATTCATGGTTTTCTAGGTCCATCCCTAACCCACTTTAGATCCACTAAGTCTGACAATCCAGAGGTTCAATTTAAAAGCTTCAGCCTATTTAAGCTAGAGTTATTCACTAGTCTCTAACTCCAGTCTCATTTTTAAGATTTTGGTAAAGAGTGGCTTATTAAGTGATGCTGTTGTCAATTTAATTTAATAAATAACAAGTTAAACCAAACAAAACAAAACACTGCACGAAAGTTAAGTAGTTTACATACAGGATATTGTTACCTTGTAGCTTGTGACAGCCAGTTTAGAAAGTCCATCAACATAGGGTCCCAACACACTATGCTCTCTGACTTTCAGTGTCTGACGGCTTCTGTTCATAAAAAAAACAAACAAACAAGTTTTTAACACTAACCTGTTGTTAAGAGGACTCAACTGTGCTGCATAAAAATATATACTGAATTCAAGAAACAGCCCAAATAAATAAAACCTACTGATTTGATCCCAGAAGAATTTAAACCAAACTTTAAAATCTCCATTGGAAAGAAAGCTTCATAATGTGGTAAAATATCACATCACTCAAAAGGGTACACTGTGGGATGTCTATTTACTACCACAAAGAATGCAGAGTCAAATAAATACAAACAATCTACTTGTCTTATCACAGAATGTGGTATAAAGAACAGAAACTCAATAAATGTTAACTGTGCAAGAAAGGAACACTACAGACCAATTTCTTTCTTTTTTTTTTTCTTCAAGGGTACACCATCAATTTAATGTGTCAAAATAACATAATTCTTGTTTGAAAGTTCAAGTTCAGGGATTTTTTTTCTTCACCTTTAAATTTTTTATTTTATAATTGTGGGGTACAATTCAGGGTTAAGTATACAAATATTCATTCTGCAGGTACCCCTGTTGATGAGGTGTGACCAATTTCAATCATGAAGAAAGGCAAACAAGCAAAGACAACAAACTGCATCTAATAATGATTTTAAAACACAAAACAGGGTTGCTAGACTGCTTTAGCATTAGAAAAAAAGACACATGCACTTTATCATATTGACAGACTAAAGGGAATGGGAGAAGTATGATCGTTTTGATAAATGCATGAAAAAGGACTCAATAAAATTAAAATTAAATACTCATTCATAATTTTGGATAAATACATCTTTTAGCAAACAAGGAACTGATAAAAACCCCATAACAGGCATCTTTGAAAAATATAGAGCACATATAGCACACTGAATGATGCAAAACAAAAAATATTAAGAATATCTGTTAAGATGCTGGTCAAAGGGTACAAAGTTTCAGCTAGGAGGAATAAATTCTTGAGTTCTATTACAAAGCATGTTGACTATAGTCAATAATAAACATAATCATTCCATAATGTATACAGGTATTAAAACATCTCATTTTACTCCATAAATACATACAATTATTGTCAATTTAAAATAAAAAGTTTAAAAATCTGTTGATATTGCTAGTGATTCTTATTTTATGTTCTTTTGTTTATCTGTGTTTTATACTATGAATGTGTGCTCACTTTGAATCACACAAAATCTTGTTTTGGTAAATAAATAATGAATTATAATGTTTCAAAATTTTTGGTGGTTCTTCAATGCCCACAAAATAAGGACCACAAACAGCTCAATATATATGCCCCTTTATAATCTGCTCTTGCCCACCTCTCCACTCAATTTCTAATCTTCACTTTACCAAGGAATTAATTTACATATATTCATTCTTTAATAGATTTTGGGCTCTAGAGGACCAAGTACAGTGTCTTACTAATTTGGAGGTCTGCAGTTCCTAGCGTAATTCCTGACACAAAAGAGTCACCCAGCGAATGAACAAACTTAGCTAACAAAATGAAAACAAGAGAGAAGAAGGTGACAAAGAGAACCCAAATGCACTGGTTTATGTAACTTGGAAAAGGGAACGCTAATATAAAAATGCAGGAGGGGAAAGGAAGAAACAGTGAAGAATACACGAAATGTACAAGTAGCCCAAAAACTGAGGTCACACCTGACCACTGTTAATCATAATAAAGAACTGAGGCTAGTGGAAGATAGTTACAGAATAACCTTTCATGTAAGCAGCAAAGTTAGGGAAAAGGAAATGACTCTTAAATCCCAAATATGTATTGTCCAGTGTACTGACTATTACTTAGTATTTTCTGATTATTTGGAATCCATAATACCCTAGGATCAACCACTGAAAATATCACATTACTATATAACTATAGATAAAGTAGACATAGAACAAATATTTGGCTTACTTCTCAACTCTCACCCCAGGATATACTCTATTATTAATTTTTTTCTTTTTTCCCCCCTTTATTCTTCTTTGGGAGACTGGGGGGTGGTTTGAGGTCTCACTCTGTCACCCCGGCTGGTGTCATCATGGCTCATCGCAGTCCTGACCTCCTGGGCTCAGGCAATCCTTCCACTTCAGCCTTCTAAGTAGCTAAGACTACAGGCACACACCACCAAGCTCAGCTCATTTAAAAAAATTTTTTTTTTAGAGATGAGGTTTCATATGTTGCCCAGGCTAGTCTTCAACTCCTGGGTTCAAGCAATCCTCCCACTCAGTCTCCCAAATATGAGGATTACAAGTATGAGCCATTGAGCCCAGTCTTCCCCTCATCTCCTGAGTAAAACAACACAATAACATCACTACATATAGTAGATATTAAGTTAATAAATTTAATACTTGAATTTTTTTTTCTTTGGTCACTCAGGCTGGAGTGTAGTGGCAAGCTCACGGTCACTGCAGTCTCAACCTGCTGAGCTCAGGTGACCGTTCCACCTTAGCCTTCCAAGAAGCTGGAACTATCGGCATATGCCACCAGGCCCAGCTAATTTTTCTTGATTTATTGTAGAGATGAGGTCTCACCAAGTTGCTTAGGCTTGTCTCGAACCAGTAATATTCTCGCCTCCACCTCCCAAAGTGCTGGGATTACAGGTATGAACCACCACGTCCAGCCAATACTTGAATTTTTAAAAAGTCTCTCAAATAGTCTTTGGCTGAAATGAGATCACCTTTAGAGTCTATAATCCATGTATTTTGACTCTGCAGAAATACTACCAAAAATCGTCCAAGATATTTTCATCAGAGAGACAACAGCAGCTGCCACTTATTGAGCACTCTCTGTATGCCAGTAAATGTTCTAAGGCCTCAGATGTATCATCCCAGTCTATCCTGACAACAGCCCTCTCTGACGTTGTGTACTATCACATCCTTCTGTCCAAGTTAGGCCCAGAAAGCTAAGGAACTTGCTCAGTAGGTAACAAGTAGAGAACCTGGATCCAGCTATGTGAATCCAAAGCCCAGGTTGTCAATAACTAACATATACACAAGACAAACATATTAAATATTACTAAGGACTAAATAAGTGCAGAGAGTAAGGCTCAAGCTATTTCCACACAAATGCTGTGGAAGAAAAACACGAGAATGAACAGGTATGAAGTCAGTCGGCCAATCATTTCTGGAAAGAATGGATCTGGATCTTAAAAAAGTGATAATCTTACAGAAGTGAAAGTCCAAGAAAACATACTCAAGGAGGAACCAAAAAACGAACAAGGATATACTAAGCAGGATGTGGGGATGGGGGCCATAACCTGCCCACCTCTGGCCTGTTTTGTTCCGTCTCCACTTCCGTACATCCTACCCTCCAACCACACCAAACTGCTGGGTCATTCTCCTAACAAGTAATTTCTTGACACTGTCTATTCTCCACGCCTGAATGGTTCTCACCTAACTTCTCAGTGGACAAACTCCTACTCAGCCCCAAATTCATCAAGTACTCTCTGTGGAATCTTCCCTTCTTCTCTGGGCAAAGTCACTCATGACCTCTTTGTTTTACATTTTGTAGGAGTCTCCTTCACAAGTTAAAATCAGATTGCACTGTATCATAAATATTTGTCCATGTTGTCTCATTCTGTCCACGTTGTGAAGTCTTCCTCAATGAAGTCACTTGCAGATGCCTGGCATATAATGATCACTCCCTAAATGTCACTGTTAAGTAAAGTTCGTGTTGAAATACTAAGCACCGATTCAATCTCCCTGTGAGAGGTCCGAGGAGATTATCTTTGTCAAGGAAAACTGATGGCAGTGAGGAGCTGAGGGTTTTGTTTGCTCTTGACTGAGAATAACAATGATTCACTGCCTCGAAGATCAAATTTCCTTGATCATCTTCCTCATCCAAACAAAACCGAATGTCCTCTTGTGTCCTTCAAACGTTCTGTAAGCCTCAGCTCATATGGCTCTTTGACCTTCCTTATACTGTTCCCACATCAACAAGCCACAGGCTGTGGTTATTATCTCTGCCTCTCTGTTATGCTTCCCTAAAGTCTGAACTCGAAGAACTCTGTGCAATCAACAGATTTCCACAAACACCCCCTGCTTTCCTCATTAAGTTCAGTTATGGCTGTAGGTCAGATCAGCATTTTTGAAGGCCTCCTAATATTTCTGGCCCGTTTCTCTTTCAAAGTCTACGTCATAAAATCATGGGATTCTTTCCTGTGAATCTTGAAAATTAACTATACGAGAACCAAGTTCTGTGTCTCTCATTACGCCTTCCCCTCACTTCACAGCCTGAATTCCACCAGAAGATTCTTGGTTAAAAAAATAATAATAGGCCAGCTCGGTGGCTCAGCCTGAAATCCCAGCATTTTGGGAGGCCGAGGCAAACGGATTGCCTAACATTGCAGGTTCGAGACCAGCCCAGGCAACTTGACAAGACCTGGTCTCTATAATAAAAATCAAAAATTAGCTGGGTATGGTAGTGTGTGCCTGTAGTTCCAGCTACTTGAAAGCCTGAGGCAGAAGGATTGCCAGAGTCCAGCAGGTCGGCACTGGGGTGGCCATGAGTGTGTCACTACACTCCAGCCTAGGCGACAGAGTGAGACTCCAACTCAAATAATAATAATAATAAAAATAAATAAATAAAAGAGAGGCAAGAGGGCAACAAAACAGGTCTCCGCAAAAGCAAGTATCCATAAAGACTCTGCATGAGTGGATGTGTGCCGGTGAGTGAGTGAAAGTCCACCTGAGGGGAGACTTGGGTTCATGCACCTGGGGCTCTCTTCTGGAGGTCACTGTAACCCAAAACCACCCTGAGATTGGAGCCCCTGGAACACAGGATTGTCTGTCATTCTCAGGGCTCTCTTGAGAAGGGGCAGCAGAAACAGCTGTTCCTCACCACCTGGCACCTGGCCCACACCATTACCTGCAGCAGCAGACCAGGCATGAGCCCCAGGAACCATGCAAAACACAGGGCATGGAAATCTGGAATGGAGCCCCGCTGCGGGTGAGGAGACACCAACCAGCACCATCTTGTCTGTCCCAGGACTGGGCAGAGACCCACACTGC